GGTGCAATACATCGAATAGAGTCCCTGCACATGTGTGTGCGTCCGAAAGTCGGAGAGAGAAAGAGAATCACGTTGGAGAAGACGAGAAAGAGAGAGGGTGAGAGAGTGAGAGCGAGTAACAGCGAGAGGGTGGGGGGTTAGTCGGAAGAGTAGGAAGAGGCCCTCCAACCCCGTTTTCACTTTCGTTCGCCCGCTCGCTCGCATGGCACATATTCACATATTCATCTCTACCACCCCCTGCCTTCATCCCCCTTGGTGAATACACAGGAAAATGTGTACGCTGCCGGTGAGTGTACGTGTGTACGCGTGTGTATGTATGCAGGAGGAAATACGTGTGGACGTACACCATTGAACAGGCATGACGGTATTTCATGTGGATGCAAGAGGCTCAGCTGTGCTGTGACGTATGCTCGTCGTCGTGACCTGGCTGAAACTTATTCGGCCACGTGGTTTCCAAACTTCAAGCCGACACCATGTGCGAACGGCAGCCGGTTACCACGTGGCCCCCTTGGCATACCCGCGCGCGAGATCGGCGGGTCGTTGAACCTTGTCATTTTGCAGCGGGATTCATTGTTTATGGGCCGATTCGACGTTATCTTTGAGTTTGGCTATGATGGAGCACTACGAGTAAGTCTACAAGCTATTGTTCTAAGTTGTTAGAGCAATTTGCTGATTATTGTCGGGAGCAGAGTGTACATTTTCTTGAGGAAAATAGAAAAATATCTTGAAGTTCGGAGGATGATCCTATTTGAGTCATAGCGGAGTGTGGTTTAACTGTGAATGAGTTTGTCGGAACTTTGCTTTGAAGTTTTTGGGCATGGAATTGTGAACGTAGATTTTCGGGATAGTATGATTTCATGGTATCACTTTTTAGCGGATTTGGTGTAAGCGAATGATGAATTGAAGTAGGCGGCGGAAGCTGATTGAAGTTAGGTATGAGATATTTTTGTTGTTAGTATTCCTTTATGTACTTTACTTTTATGAGAACACGTCATTCACCAAATTCAAAATGAAACATATTTCTTACTATATTTTAAACTCGACTCAGAGTCATAAACTCAGATTGCAAGCAATACATGGAATCATTTTATAGGTCACTAGAACCTATAAAAAAGGTTTAACACGTTCACTACAACAACAGTCATCAATGACCGACGCTTCTAAATTGCTCGAAAATGATTACAATATGTACCATGTTTGATATTGAATAAAAATAATAACGCAAGTAAGTTTAAAATCTAATATATTGCAATGCCAAATAATCAATAATTGCTCCTATCTATCGTTACTACGAAGGAACAAGTGTTACGTTAAAACGCTCATGATTTTCGTAGCAGTTGACGTTTGGAACGGAAAGAAAGCTTCTAGATTCGAAAATCCTAAGTTCTCCCTCGCGCAGCCAGTGTCATCAGATGATCGAGGGATGGATGCAAAACAGTCGTTTCGTGAAAATCCCCAAAGCATGTCATTCGAGCTTTAGGGAACCTGTTGCACGCTTCTATGCGGATCCTCGCCACCCTACTTTCCTACCCGCGCCACCCACGCCTGTCTTCAATTCCGTGTGCTCGCTCGCTCGGCCGTAAGCGTGTGTACACGTACACCGTGGCAAACACTTTCGGAATACCCGATCCGACCTTAAAAGGAGGAACAGAGATGACCGAGCTTGGGAAAGGGACGACGACAGAAGAGAGACGGAATGTGTGCTGTCTTATGCTAAACTTTGTGGGCCGCAGCTAAGGGGCAGGGGGGGATTAAGCGACGGGGCGCCACTTGTCAGGTTAGCCATTCTTCCGCCGAATCCTATCTCCAAGATTCGCGTCTATAGTGCTCCTCCCTTAGTCGAATTGAAGTTTCCAGCTGTCTTCACGACTCAACACCTAACATGTTCCTAATCGAATACTCGAAGGGAACGCTTTAATTTGAAGGGTTTGTTTTCGCCGTTGGAAAATGGAGATTGTTTAGGTAAGAAATGGAAATGAAAATTATGGATACAATTGCTGAAATGTGTAACGATTTGAAAAATTCATTTTCCTTCGTTCGGATTTTGGAAGTTAGATATTTCAAAATAAATAATTGGGGTACATACTGATGTAATTGCATCAATCAAAGTCGACGTAAATAGTTACCAAATAGTGTTTATAAAATACAATATACGTTAAAAAAAACGTTAAAAAATGTACTTGAAAACATTACTGAATGAACTTTTTATGAAACTTTTAATCTCTTAACACTAGTATCCACTACATACACAAATTCACTTGAACTGATTAATGATTAATATATTGGTATCAATCTTCTCTTAATCTCCAAAGTAGAACAAATCAAAAAATTGTTTCGAAGAACATGCTTCACGAATGAATCGAAATGAGAAAATCACGTCGTAGTTCAATCATTTACCATCATCACTCACTAACTTCAATAATAAAATTGCGACGCCCGAAGAACAGTTACCATTGATCCAATCATTCAAGCATATAGACAAACACCGAAAAACCTCCAAGAAAGGAAGGAACGAAACTTTTGTAGCAGCGAAAGTGCCACAGAAAACGAGTTGTAGAGTGACCTCAGCTTCGAAAAATTGGGGTGAAAAGGTCACGGCTGCCGGAGAGCCGGACATGGGAATGACAAACGTCTTCGAATGACCTTGGGAGTGTTCCCACGACACAGGCAACCCGTGCCACGATCGAATTGAGGGACAAACACACGGGGAAGCGACACAATTGAGCGGGAACACGGACTCGTCACCGGCGCAACCTACATTTGCCATCGGAGAGAAGAGCGATCTGCGTCTACGTGTACAGGGTGCAACAGAACTTGTAGAACCCTCTTAAGCAGTGGATAGAGGTTGCAAAGAAAATAAAACAAATTCATACGAACGTATGTCCTAGTCCATTTTGCGCCAAAGGTGTGGTCATTTTTGCGTTTTAATAACCCGCATATTGTTGCCTTCATGGATGTACAATATAGTCACCATCACAATTTCAGACAAACGAATATTACGAGTGAGTTATCGGCTACTACAATTATCACCCTAATTTTGCCCGGCTAAATGACACTCCAAGGTGATGGGGAATTTTACAATTTTTAAAAAACTCTTAACTGTCAGCTGTATGTTTAATCAGTTGGAAAGGAAGAATACTCCTTACCTATGAAAATAAATAACTAAGTATTACTGAAATACAAAAGTGGTTGTAATTTTGAGACAGGGTTAACATGTCGACTGCCATGGGAACTTTGAGCGTTTTATATCACTTATTCGTTCGTATCAAATAAAGACGCAGGCAATGATTAATCGTTCAGAATTACTATTAAATAATATTTAGTATTATTACTATTAGTTATACTATTCAACATCGGTCGTATTAGAAACTGTAATTCGGAGACAACGGTGTGACCATGGCAGTCAACGTGTTAAATACGGTACTTTTCTCATTGTTTTCGTATCCCTTGTCTATTACTAAAGTAGGTCTCGCATGTTGTGTTACACGCTGTACATACAGCGGATGGGCAACAGCCCGAAGGCGGTCGAGGGACCATTGCTACGGCATCCACTTCCACGGTTATGAATGGAGAAACTTCTGCTCTCGTGGCTCGCGTAAACGTTAACGCAGCGTACACATAAGGGCCGGCCCGCTACGAAGAAAGGGATTCGGTATGCCATCTCTCTTTCTCCCCCTTCTCATCGTCTTGTCCCCCTTTCCGACGACCCTCAGCGAAAGAAGAGGAAAACATCATCGGCCCAGTCCATGAATGCGAGCGGCTTAGCCTGCAAGATCTGCAAGCATTAGCGTGTACTGGTGGTGCACACGAACGCTTCTTGGCGACCACCCCTCGACGACCGTTTATCTGCCGCATACATAAATGCGCCTGGCCTCCTCCGTGTTCACAGATAACACACGCATCCTGAACCCCGACGTTCTCCTCCTCGCGACTGTTCTGTGTACATAAGTGTCTATACAAGGTGACTCGTGGCATGCGGATAAGTACGCGGGTGGATTCGGAATGCCAGAATGATAGAAGGAGTTTGTATAGATGCATATACACTGGCTGAGTTGAGAATTATGACACGTGAGAGGCGTCCAGCTGTTTTTGCTCGAAACGTCGTTCTTGAGACTACCTTGTAGAGCAGTTTATTGAATTAAGGGATGTAATGATTAACATTCGTGTCAAAATTTTCTTACAGGCGACTTCGTTTTCAAGGTAACCGATTTCGAAAGTTTGACACGTATTGATATTTGAAAGAATTGCGAATGGTAAGTTACGAACAAACGTGTTGAAACCAAACATTATATCGTATTTATTACGTAGTTTTCCATACAAAACGATTCCTAAGCATAAATACAACGCAGATACTAGAATTACCATTGACATTCAGACCGAAAATGAATTCTCATTGAAAAACGAAGAACTTTTTAAAACTTTATTGTAGAGTTAAAGATAGGTATTTTAATATTATGTATACTGCGGTTATTTAATTTTAATTGATTGTAAAAGTGTGGGTCGTATACGCGCCATACGGCCTGAAGGGAAAGTCTTAAAAAAATCGTCCGGCACGGAACGTGTTAAAAGCCAGCCGAATAAAAGGTAATCCAAACCAATCGATCCGCAAAGTCATTGACACCCACGCCAAGGTATAGTAACTTCTATCAACTCTAAAAACATACTCCATCGCCTAGAGCTCAAGACCAACTGAAAATCAAGATTACATGGTTGACATCGTTCAATTCGAAATCCAACCCCGTGCATCCCTCGCGCAACGGGGACACCCCGTATATAACCGTGAAAAGAGGCGAACGTGCACGTTCCTCCGCAAATATACTTTGTTTACGGTTGTGTTAGCAGATCAGGGCGCTGCGTCGGTGATAGTGGCCGGTGGCTTATATACCTCGGCAAGTAGTCGGCTGCGCTATGCCGAGGAGAAAAGAGGACGCGGAGAGAGATGAGGTGGCCCCGCACACAAATGCCCCGACCAATACCGAGAACAATGGAATAAGCAACAGGTACTCGTACGTACGTACGGATATGTGCTCACGCACGCGTGTCCCCAGATCGGTGCTCGTATATGTATTAAGCTCACCCTATGTAGGTATCAAAGCTCAATGCACCTCCTCTTTTCCTCCTAGCTGATTCCTCGACCCCCGCACCACTCCTCTGTCTTTCTCCCTCTTCGCTTGACTGCTATACACACCACCGTTCATCCCTTTTATCACCGACTCTTCCCTGACCTTCCCGTCTATCCATCTCTCTTGCTCTCTTTCTCTAGCCTCGCTCCGCGTGGATGAATCGCAAATGCGGTCGGCCGCCGCCGCGACGCTGGACGCGCGTTAAATTGACCGGAAGCGGCGAGACCAAGGCCAAGGTTCTTCCGCGTTTCTCCGGGACTCCGCGATGCATCAAGAAGAATGCGCAAGGTGAACGGAAAGAGGGGAGCACGGTGAAAGAGTTGACACCGCTTGATCCGCAAATGAGTTTGAACCAGGGGCTGAGAACGCTTGTGAGGTCGGTTCCGCTTGTGGAGACAGTTATAGAGAAGCGAAATGGTTATTTTTGCAACTGCTATTGTTATTTTTCAGCTCTAAAAGAAATATAGAACCGAAGTATAAAACTGAAATATGGAGAAAATAATAGTTTTAAAACCAATACAGAATCGATACGTTGGCTTCGAAGAACCGGAATTGAAATCGATTTAGCTTAGAACTGATATACCTAATAACAGTTATAGTATATATGAGTCGCTTAAAAACTAATACCGTTAAGTCTATTTTTTGATATTTTCTGATGTTTGGAAATTTTAATGGAATAAATAATATTCTTTTCAGTCATTACAGAATTTACTCGTTCCTTCGTTTTTTCTAGGTAAGAAAATGCTTCGTATTATAGCTTCTGAATATGTTGTATAATAATTTTAGAAACCAAAACATTAATTTTCTCAATTTTTGTTTTCTGGACTTAACGGCATTAACTTCTGAGCGACTCATATGTATGGATTGGGAATGATATACGGGAATATAGAAAACTCAAATAAACAACTACATTTATTAATAATAAAACAAGTGATGTTTAACTCGAGATTTACGGACTGTGTCAATTCAACGTATATTGAATTTTGTAACCATTATTTAATAAACATTCACGTTGATTTCGACTGACGCAATTGCGCGAATAAGTATCCTAACTGACTATTTTTAAAGTTCTGAATTCCAAGATCTAAATCAACGAACATCAATTCTTCTAAGAGCTATACAGCAAACTGTACAATAAGTGTCCGTAAACCTAGTGTTAAACATAAGGAATTATATAATAGCCACACACAACTAAAACAGCACACAGCTTACTGCTACAAAGACCAACGCACGACTCTGTCTGCAAAGATTCACCTTCGGACATTCGCACTCAAAAATAATTATTTGTACCACAATCATTCTTCTCACTCGCACTCTCCACAAACTCTCAAACAAACTCCTTCAAAGCCGAACTGGAAACCTTGGCTTTTCTCTTTTATTGCCCTTCGCTCACACTCATTCTCGCATTCACGCTTTTTAAAAATATTTTAAGCTATGCTAAAAATCCTAGATAGTATACAGTTATGACTTTATATCGGTTCTCCATAATTGTTTCAGTTCGAACCAATATATAACTGTTTCAAACAGTTATTTTCAAAAATGTTTCGATCTCTATATAGTTTGAACTACCCGTGCCGCTGGGACAACGATGGAGGATGGAGTCCAGCTCGTTGGACTAGGATCTATCCGGGAGTGTTACGAAGGTGATGGAAACAAGTACCGGTTCAGCATGATGAGATTTTAATAACGGATTCACGGAACTAGTTGGATTCACTAATCTTGGATTTCTTATTCAGGTCTGTGGAAATGGGGAATATTAGTCGTTGGTTGTTTACGTTGACGTTGATTGATGTAATGATTTGAGTACGGGTAATAATTTATTTACTTTTCGTCTGCTTCATTATTTTCAATAATATTGTCCGAAAATAGTAGTAGTAATGTATAGTTCTACTTATTTTCTAATGTAATTAAGTGTACTATCAATATTTATAATGCTGGGATTAAAATTTTAAGTCAGATTAACGTAATAATATTTAATTGTAATCATATATTTGCGTGTATATTATATTATATTATATTATATTATAGTTTTTGCGCGTATATTATATATTATAAATAAGACAGTAAATTCAATTAAGCTTTTTGTTTTTCAACATGCGTTTCATTTGTATTAAATAATAAAACTTGTTGTAAAATGAGTCTCAACAAGTTTATTGCTTACTAATTGATATTCGCACCACTTAATTATAAATATAATATTCTGTGTACGAATAATATCCACTGTCAGGAAACTTTTTAAACGCTCTATTTATACAGTGACTTTAATATTTGTTTTCTGATGCAGATATGTGACATAAATATTGTGAATGATTATAAGCATTATTAAGAACTATGTGGAAGACATAGTACGTAAGAATATCCACGTCGAATATGCAACCATCACAGTCTTAAAAGTTACTAAATTTCAGAGAACTAAAATTCTCGAATATTTCGTATTTATCCTGACTCATTTCAAAATGTTTAATTACCCGAACTTGTTCTTTGTTTTTGGGAGAGAGAGGTCAACTGACGTGGCACGAAAGTAGTCGTACTGGTCATGATTCACAGACAATGGACTGGCCTTGAGCAATACGTTGATGAAATATAAATTGTTTAAGTCACTTATACAAAGTGTTTCTGCAGAAACAATCAGATTTCTTATAATTTTTAGTTTATTTCAAACATTCGAAAATTCTTAACTTTATAAGATTGCTTAACTTTATAAGCCTTATAATATTGAGTGGGACTAGTAGTAAAATTTTGAAACCAAATCTAACAAATATCTAACAAATATAAATATTATTTTATTTTTCTACAGTTGAAAAATTAATTTTATCTTCCTCTTGTGAACGTTTAACCTTCGTGTTGTATACCGGGTGAAAATATCGATAATCCGAGATACACTAATATATAAATATATTTCAATATTGAACTCGCACGGGTAAATACAATATATTATTATTAGCGAAAACAGCGTAAATACAAAGATTGCTGCATAGCGAGTTCAACTGAATTTCGGTACAAAGTTTAGAATTCAAATGCTCTTGCTACTTGCAATTTGACTACTTATATACTAAAACATGGAAAGGAAAAGCCGAGGATGACCAAGCCTGATGGTCATGACCCAGGGTTCTTCTGACACTGGTGAAGATGTCCAAAAACATTGAATTAATACTGCAACGCGGCGCGTTGCAGACAACATGGACTAGTCATCCGACATTTGTAGTAAGCATAAACTCACAGTGAACGTAGAATTCGTTTTTTTCTTGCCAATCATTAAGGACAACAGGGATTTAAAGAGAACAACGAATAATCAAATGGTTCAAAATAATGGGTTTCAGTTTTATTATTTCGCAATTATTGACATCTCAAAAACGTTAATTATCCGAAATGATTTGAAAAACAAATAGTTCCACTTCAATACTGTAAACAATAAACGCAAAAATCGAAAAAGAATCTATTACTATAATTCTTATAAGGCCTACATATTAATCATATTAAACGCTCGATTACTCCTGTGTTAAAGAAAACAATTGCGAAAGAAATCGTATGACAAAGGGTTAATAAAGGGAAAATATCTTTCTATCTGATATAGATCTTCGAAAATTTGTATTCAGGAACTGCAAATTGCATAAATACCAATAAGCCGCCTTTAATCACTTTTGTACTAAACAGCATTCGCAATTCGTTCTTTTGGCAGACGTTGTGCGCGCGTAGTACGGGCAGAAATGTTATTGTTTATGGATTGGTCGCATTTTGCCATTCGTGTAATTAATTCCATTAAATTGCGGTAAGCACAAATAAAATCTGTATCGACGCTCCTTTCCGTCCCGTGGCCGGTAAACGGAATTGTAACGCGTACACCCGGGCTACTGCTCCCCACGTATCGAATTAATGAAGTTGGTAATCAGCGTTGCCAGATTCTGACTTTCGTTCGCGGGCCCGACAAAAGTTAATTACTGCGGCCAGATACATGGGCGTGGGCGTGATTAATTATCACAGGAGAGCGACGAACTCGCACCTTTACTGGCATATGCACAGAAATTTATGGAACATGTACTTTCCGCTGTTTGGGAAATAATACCTGGTTTAATTACGAAACCGGCGTGCACGCGTGTGTGTAATTATGAGGAAATAAAATGATGATAACGAACGAGGCGACCATTACACAATAGGCGATATCGATACCTGTGATTCTGCTTCGAACACTCTTTCCTGAATTTGTGCACTTTCGTTGATGCTAGTTACACATGACACCTGTATATTTATTGAAACAAATGTATAAAATGCATTACGAACGTCCATGGTGCTTAATCATATTTTTTTAAGATTACACATAGGATAAGTTGGGGAGAGATGGTCCAGCACTTTTAAAAGAACCATTACAACATGAGTATCGTGAATACCTAACACAAAAGGAATATATTTATTAAAGCAAATATATATAAGAAGAATAAGTAAATAGGCTTCTGTGTACGATTCAAAGATATTACAAAAAATTCTATTTTTTTATAATAAAGCTTTCAACCAATTAATGTACTAGAAGTTACTAGAAACTAATGGGCATTAGTTTCTAGACTTCTATGCATCCTTCTAAATGTCGAGTTTTATTTATTAATTATTTCCCAGTTTATTGAGTGTACTTTCCACTTTCGTTAATATTATTTAATTGTAGTGGCCTAAGTATAAACTATACATGACGTTTTGTAGCTGATCTTTCAACCGTGTGATTCTGTTAGAAAATGTATTTAAAAATAGGTCGAAAACATAGAATACAATTTTGTTATTCGAAACTTCGTTTTCCAGAAAATGTGTTGCGTGTACGATTGGCCAAATTCAAGTGTACCCTTCAAACTTTCAAACTGGATGTTCTCGAAAACGAGGTTTCAAGCGAATAAATTTTATTCTATATTTTCCACTTATTTTTCCACCAAGCGTTATAACAGTTACAACAGTATCAGTTGCAAGACTGTTATGCAAACTGGGATTCTTCAAATCTAGTTTTATAATAGAAACTGATTTTCTTTATTATAGTATTAGAATAAATAACACTGGATGGGTTTTGTATTGTTACAGGTGCTTTAAATACATGAAATCCCCAGACTACTGATTGATTTCAATCGCTAATTAATAAACGTAATAAACTCATCGACCCAAAGCTCGAATCCCCTGACCTCGCGCACTGTTCTCCAACAAGCGCTACATCAATGTCACAGGTAAAGCAGGGGCTTTGTGTGTCATGGAAATTGACGCTAAATCATACGAGTGCGGCGATCCTTATCCTGGAGACATTTCTAACAATGGCTGGCCGTAAGTGCAGGGTACAATGATTCTTAAATATGTTTCAATGGTTCAGGAGATGAATTCTGATAATTTACTCTGCCTCATTAACTTTACTCGGTAAGATCACCAACGTCTACTTGCTTTAGCACAACTGGATTGTTAATATTTTAGGAATTTGATGACCGTGAATGTGAAAGAGAAGATTATTTCTTCATGACTGATAGACGACAATATAAGCTACATGCTTTCAATCTTAAGATATTGCGAGATATATAAAGTTTACGGAGTTCATCATAGCTATTGATTTCCATGTTATTACGTTTCTCTTTTAAAAAATGCGGCTTCTTTATAACATTCTCGTTTTTCTCAGTTTATTCATTTCCTTTGCAATCTGAAATAAAATGTCATGAAAATGTGGTTTGTATTGTATTACCACACGACCATAAATAGCATCGCATCGCAGCACCAGATCAAAGACTGACGCTAAGTGATGAGCAAACTGTGGATATGTTTATACAAATTTTTATTTTTAGATGGGCTGCGATTTTACATGGAATAATAAATTGAAAATGCGTGTCGCCGCTTCTTCAAATTATTTGGTCTTCAAAATGATTTCGTCCAGCAAATGTTTGTGTCACATTTTTAAATTTCTGTTTAATTATTTAATACATAATAGTTTAAATACACGAGAAACTGATATACAGTAATGTGCATTTATCTGAAAAACTAAAGAACCAAAACGTATACCTAACAAAATTTACAATTTACAATTTAAAATGTATTCTTACAAAAAGATCGCTTGTGGAAAACTTGATTTTATAAAATATATCGTTTTTGCTATACTATTTAATTTCTTTGACCTCTGTCAACGTAAACACACACGACAGTATACTGCAATATATCACGCATAAAAAATCTCAATACAAAATCTTCTGTATTCATTTAAAAATCAAATCACTCCTTCATAGTCCTACTTTTCAAAACATTAGCACACTAATTAAAATAAATGGCACATAATGCTTCATAAATCGTGGAAATACGAAATAAATTGAAAAGGGAACCTCAAAATTTTCTAGGGTTCTGAATAAATATTTTCTTTCTTGTTCTTGACGCCTCGTACACTCGGCTGTTGAAGAATCGACATGCATTTCAGACACGTCCCGTACATATAAATGTATCGTCGACGCGAAGCAACGTTTCGAAACGGTCGTGTGTTTGCGCACTCGCAAGCAGACCGTACGTTGTATGCAGGTAGGTACTGTTATGCGTCGGCATGCGTGACGCAACAGGAAAGTGCGATACGGCCGGGACTTCCCTGTCCGCTGCTTCGGAATTATTTGGAACAGTCTATCGTCCGTGCGCATCGAGAAAGGAGATAAAGGTGTGCATTTTAAGAGACACTTTCGCGTTACCTCAGCCAGTAACCACAGGTGGAGTTAATCTTTTGTATCGTGGGATCTGTTATTACTGACGTGCGTACATACCGGCTCGTGGATTATAATTCTATCAAATGAACGGAAAACGAGATAGCCCGAAAAAAATGCATTTGTTATGGGAGTATTCGGAGCAAACCAACGTTCATTACCACATAAAAATCAACCACTTATTTTAAAATATATGCTTATAGGTGATAATTTAGCATATTTCTTTTTTTAA